GCTCTATGGCAGCAAGGTCAGGGGACTGCTGCTTGCTATGGGCAGGGCTGTGAGGGACCTTTCCCACGTCCTGCGTTGAAAAGGAAAGCAATTCTTTTCATCTGCAGAATAGAAAGAGATTTCCTCTTTTGCTGGTGGTAAATTGTAAGTAACTTGATAACACAGCTTGTTCACTGAGTCCTAACACTGAAAAGCTTTTAACACACACAGTCATGTCCTTCCCCACCTCATCATCACACAAATATTACTTTGTCCCAAGAAAGTTCTTTTCCTATCACCTCCAGACAGCGGGCACCCCAGTCCCTGGTACTACTGTGCTCTTATGACTCCAGGACAAATGTCTTGTATCTTTTAATGGAACAACATATCAGGGCTTTAGACATAATTGAGAGAAAAGCTGACCAGAGCTTATGGGGCACATCAGCCCCAGGATCCTTGGGGCAGGACATCACTAACCTTCTCCATGAAGACATGCAGCAAGCCCATCCTTTCGTTATGAAGGACATTGATGCATATTGGTGCAAATGGGGCAGTTTTCCCTGCAAAGTGCTGTAGCAGTCAGAGGTTCTAGTGATTTAGATGATTAAGTGACTGCAGAGTGATAAAGCTTGATGGAGCTGATAGGATGCTAAAGGTGCAATATGAAAGATGCAATCCTAAAGGTGCAATATGAAAGATCCTCAAACGTTCACAGCATGGACATGAGCAGTGTCCTCCTATCCTCAAGGATGTTTCTATCTGCATAGATTTGTAGGCTGAGTCTGACACAATAGCACACGTCTGACTACCAGACACAGCGTATGCTCCAGAGGCACACAAAGCTGATCTACAGACTGAAGCATGTTGGCGCTTTTGACACAGAGACCACAGAAGGATGAGATTATCAAATTGCATTTCCTTAGGTCACAAGCAGGTTAAATTTGAGAGGAAAACTAGGACTATCACAGATAAGCCAGCAGTGCTGCATCTTGATGAGTTGTGGCATTCTTTCCTGACTAGCCAGAACATAAGAGTTCAAAACTAAGTGGTAGCAATTTCGCATTTTAATTGGCACAATTGTAGAAAATGCTACTTGGCAAGTATCAGGTATTATGTCCAACATAATACAGCATTTGTCTGCAACAGACTTCCTTTGTGTTACAAAGCAATAAATAGACATGCTGTTACCTTATGTAGTATAAGTATCACCTTGTGAAAAAGATAAGTGATGACTGTGAAATGAAGCTGAAGCTGGCAATGACAATGCAAACAAGAGGATGCCTTCAGTATTAGTGGTGCCCCATTGCATGAATAGCATGATTCTGACTTGTAATAAAATCTTATGCTATTGTTTATACGTGCATAAAATACCCTTGTAGTGAAATACATACTCGTCTTCTCTCCCAGAAAACTGAAAAAGATAAATTAGTGCCCTCTTATGACTTAAAGCCAAAAAGCTGCACACAGAAACACTGAAAAGAGCTTCAGTTCAGGCTCTGTATATAAAGCTGTACACCGCACCTCTAGCACCAGCATCTTAACGCTGAAGTCCTGAACACCTGCTGTGATGGTGCATTAACTCTATCCCAAGAGACTAGTGCCTTGCAAAGTACTCTGTAAATAAAGTTTCCCAATATCAAGGAAAATAATTTCTTCCTTCAGACCACTACAGCTTACCCCACCAGCATGAGTAATTCCTTCTTCCATTTTTACCTTTGTGGACTCCTGTATATAAATTACTGTTTTAACATCCAGTTTAGTTCATTCAGTCCCTCACATCTGTTGTTCATCCTCAGGTGCTTTTCTGATGTTTTGTCTTCAGACTCTGCATCACTTTGTTGCCATTCTTTTTATTATCTGTACCCTTTTTACATAAATTCCAAACTGAAAAGGCCAGAAATGTAGAGATTTTACTCTGCTTAGTCAAAGGAGAGGTACGACCAAATAAATTTGTTTAGAGGTAAGTTAGCACCCTCTGGTGTATCATTAGTGTACTGCAAAATTCCTTAAAGATTAAAGGACGTTGATTCCTCACGATAGCAAGAAAAAACCGGTGCAGATGGGTGCCTGAGACATGAATATAGGAACTTTCGTGCTTGTTGGCAGATAGAGGAAACTGCTTTTCCATTTGGTGTGAACTGGGAAGAAGATGGGGTTATTCAAGGGTGTTTCTATTCAGCATATATAGTTCCTATGCCTTTTCTTTTTACTCAAATTACATTCTTTTTTCTCCTTTAAATTCATTTCAAAGCTATAACATCTCTGAAGATGATCAGGTTTTTTTTCCCTTCAGGATTGGACTGTGGACTTAAATAGATCAGGTAGATTACCTGTTAAATAGGAGATACTACTAGATAGTGCTAATTAGTTCAAAGCAGAAGTAAAATTCTATAAATATCCATTTTTATGTTATACTTCCTTTCTTTATTCTCTTCTCAACCTACAGCCACAAAACACACTACCTATGTCAAGTATTTACCACACAAAAAGGTTAACTGGTAAAGATTACCGGAGCCATGAAGAACATCACTGAATTTGTGTGGAAACCACTGTGGTGAGCTGCAATGCAGAAATCATCATCTCTCTGGGTCTACTTATCCACATTTTTGAACGACAGGGTTCATTCCTTATTATTATTAGCTCTGTAGAGCTATCATATGTGACTCCTTCCTATACAGTTCCTACCAGGGAAACTTTAGACAAGTCCCATTTACAGACACAACTTTGGAGCTTTATCAACCTCAAATTTTGCCTTCCTTTACAACTGTGCAATTGATGAGGGTGAGGGGGGGAAACAAAGCTAATAAACCCCAGATATTTCACCTGATAGTGGAATGCAACTTTCAGCAATTATAAATCTATGTCATGACATTGTAGACTTCAAAGATGATTCTGCAGTATGATAGAATAGAAATTAGAAAGAAGAACACCATTTTGTGACCCAGACCAACAGGCAACCACTAGGGCACAATTAATGTGGAAGCTGCAGTCATATTTTACTGCCCTAATTTTTCAAGCTATTGTAGCTTATATGGAACTAAAGGAGAGTATTAAAAAGTTACACCACTTGTGTGGTATTGTAAAATTAAATCTTTCAAATGGAAGCTTGCTTGAAAGGAAATCTACTTTTAAATCCCATCCTCTAATACTAATACTGTACAGGCACAACCATTTAAAAATAGAGTTCTGTTGCAGCTCAATGCATTCACAGCAAAAAATGCTCATTGACTATATAGTCATGTTTTGTCTTAACACTTATTTAATGAAGGTTGATAATTTATACAGTGTATTTTAAGCAGAAATTTCTAAAAACATGAAGAGGATTTTGTACTCCTGTTTAAAACTACTGTAGATGTTAATCAGGAAGATCGGTGATGTTTTTAATATGTTATTCATGCTGAATAGGTAGCTGGTTTATGCCAATTTGGTATTTTATAGGAATTACAAATGTTTTGATATCCAGAGACTGTTTAGAGCTTCTCCAGATGCTTCTTTACCAAAACAATCCATATATGTTTGCTTATCTTTCTGTTGAATGTCCTCAAAAATTAGTTGATCCTAGAATAAGAATACAAGTACAAATGAAAAACATCTTAGTAAGACTGACAGAAAACTTCATTCATGTGAATTCTTTTGGGAACTTACTCAAGGAAAAGAGAAAGTAAAAACTATCAAAAAATAAAATAAACCCCATACATTTTGATGACACCTATTTCATAGCTCTTTTTAAGAATCTGAATACACCTCTTTTTATTTCTATAAAAGAATTACGTTTCTTTAACTTCTTGTTTACTTTCTGTTTACTTTAACTTCTTGTTTACTTTCCATAAAAACATTTTTGCCATAGTCCAATTTCAGCTACACAGGTGAATGTCCAAAGCATTGTTCTGCATATGAACTGCAATTAACTTTCAAACATATAGCTCAGAAACCTCTTTTTTGCTCTTCCTATCATTTCCTTATTCCTTGTTTTTTAATTTGGTCTGCTTGTTTTAACTATCCTGAGCATCTCTTTTCTGCTTTTCTTGCTTCGCAGGAAAACCAGCCTTTATTTTCCTACCATCTTTTTCCTTTAGTCCATCTTGCTTCCTCTTTTATACTGATATTTTGCATGCTTATCTCCATTCTTCATAAATTCTTTAATCTGCTTCCTTGATAGCCTTTGTTTTATCCCATGCACTGTTCTGGGCTCCTTTACTAGTCACAGCCCTTTTAGTACCCTCACCTTTTTTTTCTGTTCCTTAACACATCTTCCTTCCTGTTCTCTCCCTCATCATATGCTCATACTCTATCCATTCATTTCTTAAATGACTTCACTCACTTGTTTATTTCCATTAATATTCCTTAGTTCCTAATAACCAAGTAATAATTAATACTTCACTTCTTACTCTCAGAATACTGCAGTTCCCTTCTATGCTCATTTTTTCTCTGCTGGACAGTGAGACGTCAGCTGTCACCTTCTTTCTCAGCACACCGTTCAGTCATACAGGAACTGTCTCCCATTCATTCTTTTCATTACAGACATATTTTTTCCTTCTTTCCCACGTGCCGTCTCAGCTATTTTGCTTTATTAAAGGACTCATGTTGACCATCTCAGTCTTGCTATGAATCCCACAGAGTTCACTGCACTTCCTCCACTCATGTTTTTATTTTCTTTACTCTTTCCTTGAAAATTGTTGCAAAATTATTTTTGCCAAATTATTGTATGTTTTGCAGTATTTAGAAATGGTATTTTTTCTAGAAAACAATTACAGGCATTATCAGCTTTAAATCTCTAGTAAAATATCACCCTGATGTGAAGCAAGAATATATTTTCACAGCAGATATTCTATTACTCATAAGATTAAGGCAAAATACTGATCATAAACATTTTTCATATTTGGCCAATAGCCTACTTCCAACTATGAAATATCATTTTTGTGTTGCTTAGATTATTTCTCCAGTAAATAAGTAATAAGCATATGTTATGTTGAATGTTTTTCAGGAACTGTTAAATATTGCTACTTTAAAAATACACTTGCCTAAATGTTGTCTTTGCAGAAGTCCAGAGATAGTGATTGGGTATCTTGTTGCAGATGACTGTGGGGAAGGTGATGTAAATGAATACATCTGAGGGGTTCTGAAATCTGAAATAGCCCAAGACCCCATTCTACTACTTTGTGATCCAGATGATGGTGTAAGTGAACATCCACTATGTGGTAGCCTTATTGGTGTAGACCTGTTAATGAAATTAATTCATGGGTATGATTTCAGGCTACTTTCAATGTACAAGAGGTTTCAAACCACCTTAAATTTATAGTGTTAGTATTTTAAAAGAAATTATATAAATTATTGTATTCTACATATTCCTTATTGCATTTTTATTAGGACTTTTACATATTTCCAAAAGCAGAAAGACGAAATAAACTATATGAGAATCAGAGATGGGGGAAAAAAGAAATATTTTGTTATGTGTATTTTAAATTTGTGCTAGGAGGATATAATTCACTTAATGATTATAGAGAACAAGAGGTTTGCTTTTTCTGGAACCATTATAAGCTTCCTCTTGGTGTTAATAATCTTCACAGTATATTTTCAATGTTTAGATGAAAAACCTGGAACACCTGCTGCACGCTGCATGAAGATGTTCAGGTTATTCAGAAAATAGCTCTTGTGTAGATACTGTGTTGTCACCTCTGATTTTTAGAAGAATTATAAAGGAGACAGGCTGATGACTACCTTTTTTATAAAAGTACTATGACTGTAGACGTCCACAGCTACAAGAACTCAGATTATGTCTGCACATTTTTGAAGAAAGTGATTTCAAAATAAAGCCTTCCAACAGTAACACATTCATATAGGTGATGGCTAGTCTGCACAATAACATTTCTTCACTTATAGAACATAACCTTTAAATGTACAGATTAATACAGGACAGACAAGAAAATTCAGTCTCTTACAGGAGATCATAACATCTTAAAAAGGTATTTAATTACCTCGTAGATCCTGCTCCACTATTTTGACTTGACATTACTCCAGATGACTGAGAACTTCTGTAAGATATACTACCTGTAAGAATCAAATTTTTAAAAACATGAATTACCCATTTTACTAAAGAGAGAACTTTGGAAACAGATTAGTACTTTAATTGCATCGTTTGGGACAAATTCATGATTGATTTATTCAAGAATTAAAAATGGTGCACAATTACAATAAGATTTGGCTGATGAAATAAAGTCACCATGTCACTTGAGAAAGTGATATATTAAAGATATATTAAAGATATATTAAAGATATATTAAAATAGTCCTGACAGTTAAGAATGTATTTTTACAATTTAACATAGACAAGGCATTTGAGGCATGAGTTGTCTTCCAGTAGCACCTGTTGCTGGAAAAAGATCCAGCAAAAGTAAGAGCTATCAAAAGTCCTCAGCAGTACTCCAGCAGAGAGGGAAAGTGAAAAATTGTCTTTAGCCTGAATAGCTAATTCCTACATAGAGCTTAGCTGTCACAAAACCCACCACATTGCATCATTCCTGCAAATCTTTTTCTAGTTAGCAGCGTTACTTCCTCTAACCTCCTCTCATTTATTAACAATCGTTCAAATATCAAGATAGCTCTGCTGAGGTCCTCCAACTCTTCAGCTTTTCTTTTTTGCCCTGCCCATGTCTGAGAAAGAAACATCATTAATCATTGTTTCTACTAGCCCTTACCTTTGTAAATACACTTTGACTCATTTAGCTTTGTCCACTGCAGAACTTTGAGTTGATTCCGAAATGTGCTGAACACACAACTGTTCTACATACAATTTTACTATCTAATTAAATATCTATTTATATTTAGACACAATAAAATAACCTTACTTTCACTATCTTGTTATCCATAAATTTATAGCCAAGTAAGCAGAAGGATCTGAATATATAAATCAGAAATAGCATAGAAAATGCAGGTTTTGCTCCTTCATTACAGCTGTATTCCAGTTGCATTTGTCTTTGTTTCAGGATGTTTACACCATGTGAAAACACAAGTGCTAAAAGCTCGTTTATGTGGCTGGAGATAGATTCTCTTAACTGCTGAAGCCAGGTGAAAGACTGCCTGAGAACAGACTTTTGCAGAAACATGCTGAATGGAAAACCAAGAATGGGGGACACACAGGAACTGCAGAGCATTAGGATTCCTGGGGAACTCCTCACAAAAAAACAGTACGCACTGATTTCAATAGGTTATTCATGTCTTACTTACATCAGAGTGTTACCCAAGTTCTACAATAGCCCAGGAACTACAGGGAAAAAAAGTCTTATACCCTATTAGAGTGAGATGGTGAAAAAAAAGTCACCTTTTTGAAGAAATTCTTGGTCTCATTTACCTCGCTTTTACCATGAAATACTTTTGTAATTTCCATTTAGTTCCACACACGCCCCCACCACTGTGATTTTAGCATGAGATTATAGACAATTTTAATCTCTGGTAATTATAAACAAATATAATTATGAAGTTTAAGAGAGGGTCAACAACGTAAATTGCAAGTATGCCTGTTACGTTCAACCATACACATCATTACAAAATGCTCTTTGCCATTTTTGATTACGATTGTTCAGCAAAAATCATTTTGGTTACGAGTAATTATTTACAGAATGGAGTAGGTCAGTACTAGAAAGACTTATTTCACTCTTCATTTTTAGCCATTTCCCATCTGCCGGAATGATGTCTACACGGTAAGTTCCTTATACTTCAACACAGTTCAAGTTTGCTCAGTAAACTGCTAATATATGGATTTTATTTTATTAATCCTCTAAACATAATACAAATGTTATCCCATTACAAACTTTCTTTTTACTCACCCATACGTCCATCTTGTGGTGGAGTGATTAATGATAATCTTGTTGGACCAGTTGGTGTCTCAGGCTAAATGAATGGAAAGTTATTAATTACAGTGTAATAAGTTTGTTCATTATAAAGGTATTTTAAGAAATAGTGTTACATTTTCGAGGTCTATAAAAACTGCAGATTTCTGATGCTTTCCACTGCCAGTTTTGTTCATAGCACTAAAATGCAAAACCTCAGAAATAAGTCACTATTTTTCAGACATTCTTCTCAGAATACTGATATAATGAAAAGCTCCTGCCTTCATTCTCATCTTAGAGATGTCATTCAAGGCATGCAATTCCCCATTCAAATATAATCTTCTAGCACTGATTTCAGACCGCTGACTTCTACACTTAGCTTTTTATTAACATGTGAAGATACTATACACTATACATTTGTTGATGCCACAGAGCATAGACAGAAACAAGCGGCAACCAAAAATGTTGATGAAAGGGGAAAGATAATGACTGGGTTGATTTGTGGGTTAAAAAAAACCCAAAACTTTTATCCATCATAAATGAAATTTCAGGAATGTTTTTGAGAATTGGTGTGATGTGAAGATTGCCAAGTGATTCATCTCTTATAACCAGACATCTGCAATGACAGCATTTATGTACAGGCTGATCCCCTGAAATTCCCATTATGGTGAGGGAAGAGAAACAGGAATGAGTCCAATATATCCATAGGTAGGTCTATCTATGGACGTAACCAATCCATAGGTTATAAAGGAAACCCTGAGATGTTAGCTTAAATCTGCATTGCAGATATCTGCATGAGATTTGGTGAAGGTGGAAATCTTATATGTGTTTCCATTTCTGAATACATTAGATCTTAAATTTAACTGCAACTCTCAGTTTCATGCATTAGCAACATTTATTTTGGAAACAGTTACAGTGTTTTTATAACATAAACATACTGTGATTCCAACATCGGAAGTTTAAAAGCCTGTATATGGCATGTGGAGAATTTAATTCCAGAAATCAGGGTTGTGATTTATTTCTTTTTGGTTCCTTTTGGGGGAGAATCTGACTTCTACTAAGCATTAAGGGTAGCTGAAACCAGCATGTACATAAGAACTGTTTTGAAGAGGAGGCAGTATTAACTGAGTAAAAGAAATCAAAAGCACATATATTTATATATGCATATATATATAAACATATAAAGAAAAAACACTACTTACTTTCCGCATTGGTGAAGCTATAGGATCGATCTCCATTGGCTCCAATCTTACAGCAAAGGTCAAAATAAGTATAACATTGTAATAAAACTAATACATTCATTATAATGATTTAAATTATGTTATATTCTCATGTTCAGTTTAACTACTAATGGAAAAGCATAATATATTGCATAACACAAAGAGTACTTAGGACTTGCAGTAAGAAAAATCTATTAATTGATTCTGAGCTTTGGTTTAGACATTTACAGAGAAATTCATTTTATGATTAGTATTGTTATTCTTGTACTTAAGTCAGAATAAATACGCATGTTTATATATATCTCACTTGTCTCCACAACAAGGGCATTCTGTAATTTTACTTTTTATTAGAAGTAAAGTCACAGCCACAGTTACAGAAATTTTATGCCTGAGCAAGCTATATGTTCAATTTATTTAAAAGTTAATAAGCCTTACTGGAGTTCATCCTATCTAACTTTAGACAGCTACAATAATCATATAGGTGCCTGTACAAGTAATTTAGGTTTCCCCTAAAATCATTGGGAAGAGTTCCTCACTAACTAATTAGCCTGTCTATCCAGAAAGTCTTTAGAATAAGGTGCATCATGTCTTAGATATTTTTCCAGTGAGTACAAAGGCTATCTATGCAAGTAGTTATTATGAAAACTTGGATAGGTAAGACCCTTCCTTGTTCTTTCATACTTACTGAATTTGCAGAAGCAAAACACAAAATCAGAAAATACACTTATTTTAAACTCACTTAAGAAATGGCTTTGTGTATAAAATATCAGTATATTGTCACTGTTAAGATTTTTGTTGAAAATTAACAATTTGTACCTACATGTCAGAGGTGGAGGGATGTCTAGGATGAAGAGAACATGAAGAATAACCATTCTGTTTTCTTGAAGGATCTAAAGCCATTAATAAATTTCAAATTAGAACATAGCTATATCCAGTGATATGTATTCCATATTTAGTATCTTAAACCAACACTTACTGTAAAATTGATTTCTACTTGTACTGGAATATGGTAGTTGTGTACTTTGTTCAGGAGTTTTCATACTAAGGGGGAGAAAGAAGAAACAACAGACATGAATTAAGAGCTAGTTTGGTTAGTTCATTTGTCTAGCTGGTCAATAAAGTATAAAATCAATACATTTTACCCATCAATAGCTGGTTTTAACACTACATTATTTGCCATGAAGCAAAATAATAATGTATTAAATATAATGTAAAAATATAATAAAGCTATTAACTTCTTCATATTTTAATATCTGTATCAGTCATTATCTGCCCAACGAGATCAATTTAGGATAACATTTTGGCAAAGTACTTTATGGAGTAATGGATGTTAAAATACAACTATTTACTACAGTTGAGCAAAAAATCATCATTTCAATGTATAGATTTCCCAAGCTTTATAAAATATAGTTATCAAAAGAAATGTTAGCATATTTATGACACTCACTAACAGCTGTGTAAAACTGGCAAGAGTGATTTATTCATAACATAAATAATGTTAAAAGGGAAACAACAACAAAAGTTCAAGAGAGTGCAAAAATGTTAATAGTGATGTCCCCTTCAGTTTAGTCTTGCAACTGATCCTGTTTAATATACCCCATGACTCAGGGACAGCTTGCAGTCTGTGAAATCTGAAGACAGACAGTTCTGAAGATAGAAAGTTACATCAATATTGAGAACTACAGAATGTTTTTACAAATGTGACTTTTTCCAACAATAATTGAAATAAAATGTAATTAAGTGAAAAGTGATAGCATAGAGTGTATTTAGGGATCAACAAGAACTGTAAGTTGGAAATAAATACGATAAAACAATTGGGTTGTATCAGCCAGTGAGCAGGGAGATAAGGATGCACTACCTCTTGTCTATCTCTTGCTAAAATTTCACCTTTAGAGTAACTCCTGACTTAAGTTTTAAAATAAAGGGATTCTTTATGACAGGATTGATTACTTGGAAGGAAATGGACCTGATGATAGAAATTACTCTTCATCTATTTCTGTAAAATATGCATCTTATATTTATACAAAATATATGAGAAAGTCAAAGCAAGCATAACTTTTATATGGCTTTATCAATTAAACTTACTGATTTCTGATTAAAAAGACTATTTCTCATTTACTTTTGTGGCATTAAACCCCTTACCGTTGTAGGTGATGAATTTGTTGTGTTACTTTCTGGAGAGACTCCTCCAACTTCACTGTCTGTGAGATAATCATAGATTTAAACAAAATCTTTTTACCTGATACATAACTTCATTTTTATACAACTAGTATTTGAAAGTGTTGAAAGGCTGTTTTCTATTGGTTTTAATCTTAGATATCGTTGCTGTTCCAGATTTATTGAGGGCACGACTATAGCTGTTACAATGATCCATTAAACAGTCTGGGAAAGGTAAGTTTCCTTGGGGCAGTTACAGACTTAGTTTGATTACCTTTTGTTAAATGTGCTGGTAATATTGGGTAAATAAATACTGAGAAAAGTGCTTAAAAATAGTTTGCTTTTATTTTTCTTCCTCTTTTTCATATGTGATATGAATGATACCAATAACTGTACAAAATACCAAATACCATGTTCCTGTATTTCTCATTTCAGTTTCAAAATTTATTCAGTTCTTTTCAGTATCTCTTTGAAATAAGCTTATGAGAAGAGTATTTCCTATCATATTATAGGCACAACCAAAAATATCTCTATCAAAGAATGTTATGAGCTTGCAAAATTGAAGAACATTAAGGTCAAGAACCTTAGGTCAGCTCCATAGTATGTGTATTTTTTACAGTCTTTTATTACATGATCATACATTATATTTTATGAAGGATGTAAAACTTTACTCAATAGCCTCAATACTGCATCCATATTTCATCATTAATTTCCATTGTGTGACCTTAGTCCTTCATTAACTTCACACTTCTCATATTTTGATTTGAAGATAAATTATGAATTTTCTTGTTAATTTTTCATGCTTCTCCTTTCACTATTATTAGAATTCTTTAATAACATTACCTGTTATACCTTTATATTTTTGGTTGGACGTATTATGCTTTTTTTTTTTTTTTGCAGATGTGAAACTGCAACGACGACTAAAGTCAAAATCTAATTTACACAAGATCTGGTCTTTTGTATTCTTTTTTCTTTTTCCTAGTGAAAGCTAGGTTTGATTAAGAAATTGACCAGTAGAGATGTCAGGCAGAATGTACCTTACCCTGTTACTCTGTAGGACTGTACCATTTTAAAGCCAAAATGCCTTAAAGAAGGTGAATAACTACTTGGTTTTCAGTATCTTTGGGTCCTAGCATAACACAGAGTCTAGACTTGTGAGGAGTATGGACATCAACACCCACATCACACACTATCCTCTGCACCCCAGTACAACTCTCAGAAACAGCAACAAAAGAAGCTTTTATTAAGGTCACAAGAGCTGTTGCTTGACAGTGACAACAGCGACGCACTAGAAATAAAGAAGGGGACCAGAAAGAATTTAGCCAAGCATGAGAATTTCTTTATGCTATGGTTGTGAATTTCTCTATGCAGTCGTCCATCTTTCCCAAAGGCCAAGACCTGCAGAATAGAGAGTGGCAAGAAGAAGCACTTGTGTCAAAGGGTATATTTGTGCATTTTCACTTCCCCGGGGGTCATTGCCATTTACCAAACTATTTATACTGTAAATCATTCTTGTTCCATCCTCTTCCCACTCACCTTCATCTCAAAGCCAGTGGCAGGAAGACTCAGACGGAGATTATAACTCCGAGTCTGAGGATCTACTGCCACTCTCACATCCTGTGTGACTCTGCCAGCTGTGATCTAGCCTTCCCCAGCTCCTTCAGATTCCCTCCCAGTAGCCCTGAAAGAGGGAGCATTGCTAGCTGATACCCACAGGAAGGAGGTGGGTACATCATTGCACAGGGAAACTTCTCTTCCTTGCTCACCTCAGCCCCATTGTCAAACCATTTCTCCACCAAAACAGCCTCACCAGTGCTAGTCATAGCTCATATAGGGTGCTTAAGACAACCAGCCTCTTCTGACCTTGATAAAATGCAAGCAGTTTTAAAATATTTACAAATACATAAATTATTCTAAGCATTCCAATAACGAGTTAATTTATTTTCTAAAAATAAACCATAGTAATAAGGCAAACATAAGAAATAAGGAAAAAAAGGAAAATCACAATTAGAGTTACCTTTTGTCTGTGGTATGCTAATAAATGTTTACGATGTTTCTCTTGAAACTCTGAAATCTTAATATAAATACAGTTATATCAAGCTTCACCTAATGACATTTATGCAGACTCAGCAAAAATGTGACAGAGATGAACTATTTCACGGTATTCACATCTTTCAGTATTTTAATAAGTATTTAACATATCTTTAAATCCTCTCCAACAAAACATTACAAGTTATTATCACTGATAAAGTCTCATAAAGTTTATTTAATCTAGTATGACCTACCCTACAGTTGGTAGATTTATTTCACTGAATTTATGTTTTAGCACTATGTTCAATAACAAGGTAAAGACATTGGAAAGCCAGTTTATCTGTGGTGTTTCTTATTCATTAGTGCTAAGCAAACACATAAAATAAATGGCAACATAAAAAGTAATGTGTCTTACTGGCAATTATAACTTGCCTTGTAAAAATACCTTGTTAATTAAAAAATAATTTTCAGACATAATTTTCAGTCTGGTGGTATGTAAGTACTTCTTGGGTCCAAATGAGGATCATAAACCATGACAGGTTAAAAGTAAAAAAATACAAGGTAGGCAAGACAGAAGCTTGAGGAACAAATTGCAATAGGCAGTAACTTAACAATAAATCTTTCTTCTCACATGTAAGAAATCTGCCAGAAAATGTGTAGTGATAGAGACAACTGAGAAGACACACTCTGAGAAGATAAACCCATAGTGGAATATCTAATGGTTACTTTTATTTCACTGTAGAAGAGCCTGAGAGATTCCCACTGGATACTCAACAAAGGATCAGAAGTGTCTTCAGAAGATCTGATGGAAGAAACAGCCACTCAGAAAGTAATGGCTCTGATCTGCCTCCCACTACTCAGAAATGAGGTCTTGGATCTATAAAGGAGAAATCTGTGAAAACATCAATTCACTGCTCAATACCAGTCAGAAAAGTATATCAGATCTTAGAAGTGGTTACAAAAAGAATAGAATAATGAGCATCATTATTCCACTTAAAAAAAAAATACACGTATGTTATTATATCCTGACTCTGTTTAACATCTCAGGAAGGATATAGTAGGTCTAGAAACAATTCAGGTTAACAAAAGGTATTCAAGATCTTCAGTAAAAGAATGACCACATAGAATACACGTCTTCATGGCTGAAAAAAAGACAGTTGAAGAAGGGCTGCTTTAGCAGTTCAAAACTAATGACTAGCACAGATGAAGTGCGTGGGAATGGTTACTTTTTCCTCTAAAATGGGATTTAAGAATATCAAATTAAACTAGCAGGTAGCAGGTTAAAACCTGATAAAGGAAATCATCACCACACAGTGTATAAACTGTGGACCTCCATTCCACAGTATGTGATAAATGCTAAATATTCAGAAAACAACCTGACAATTACATGGGGAAAATTATCCACCAAAAGCTTTTGAATGCAAAGCACCAAGCCCACATTGAGAAATCCCTGTGCCACAAACTGTTGAAAGCTAGAAGGCTGTACTGAAGACATATCACTACATGCCAGTCTTGATCTCACATGCTTTCCTAAGCACCTGCTGTTCTGACTACGTATGAGATTAGATATTAGATTAGATAAACCTTTGCCCTGACAGATTAAAACTGCTCTTGAGTCTTTTGATGCTGGTAGAAGTTCTGGACATATCTTAAGGCCTTAATTACACTTCAGTATGTTCCCCATAGGTTATCTCAGGCTGCAGAAAACCCACCTCAGTCTTTTATGACTGTGTCCTCTTTTTAGTTTCTTTGACAGAAGTTTGTGTTCACCTGTCATCAATTGGTGGTATAGCTGTCTGGATTTGTTCAGAATAACTACTGATCATTGTACATGCTGTTAAGCAATGTGTATGGAAGGACCTTGTGTTGCCTACGCATCTTAGGAGGAGAAGTGCTGAGGAAAGGAAACATGAACAAGCTTTGGAGAAGTTTGTGAAGCATGGAGCAGAGCAAATATGAATCCATAATCACCACTGAAGCAAGCATGTGATCTTCCCTGGGTTACTTTTCTTCTGGATCAGGAAGAGATCAAACAAGTATCAGCCCAAGGGAGATAACACAATGAAGGTTGCAGGAAGGTTCAAGGAGAATGTTCTACAATTCAACCTGGAGTTGAAACTGCCACTGAAATGCTCAGTAAGAGGGATGAGGGCAAGTCCAAAAGCCAAGCTGAAAAGATGCAGAAAACAAGCAGCTCAATGGGAGTTTATATGCATTCATTTAACCCAGACAGCTACTAAAGTTCTGGACTGGAAACTGAGCCTTGAGGAAGGGATCCTGCCTGGAGTTTACAAAAAGCAGGAATGAAAGTTACCGTGGAATCATTTATTGCTTCTGCCTGAAACAGCAGACCTGGTTTGATGAGAGAGAGCGCGAGCATTCAGCTCAGGACTTCAGCTAACTCAGGTTTTTGCTGTGCAACTTTTTATTGCTATAATTAGGGCACACTATCTGGGCATGTTTAAGATTATGGCAGATATAATTTTTCATTGTATGGCATTGAAAGTGATTTTACACCATTAAAATAACCAGACTAGTGGTCCTCAGAGAGAGCTTGAAAACATAAGCAGTGACCATGATGAATAATTTATGCTTTCTTAAGAGCTTTGAAGCTGTGGAATTAAGAAGGTAAAGATAGTAATGGGCATACATTCACTTTCAATCATTCACTCATATATTTTTCCCGTTAATACAAAAATCAGCAGAGGTTGGTCATTATTTTACAGAGTTAAAAAGTTTTAAGGCAGATTCACCTGTGTTATTTCTTTTGAATATTTCTTGCATAACGTATCTATTCCCATGAACAGTGATTGAATATCAGGACTTGTCTACCGAGAAAAGAAAGTGTATTAAGGTTAGCACTTATATTTGCAAGTTATATCGAATAAATAATTTTGAGAAGTGTTCCTTAAATTGATTGATGTATAAGAATAAAAAAAGACAGATCAAAAGTAGGATGATACAGAAATTGAAAACAAACCCAGACTTATTTAATGCTCTTATTAACCATCTGGAAGGTTTTCTGCTTTTGTTTAAATATATTACACACATATATATTTATTGTAACTAAGGCAATAACAATTTCCAGAGGACATTCAAGACAGATGCTGTGGTCCTCTGGAAGACACATTGCCTTCAGACAGAGAGGCTTCTGGGAGTCCCTTCCTAGGCTTTTTGTCTCTCACCATCCCTAGCCACATGGATGTATCTTACAATCAGTTTTGCTTCAAAGTCGTGTTTCAGAATAGTTCCAGTACTGACTGGGGTTTTTTTTTCTTTCCTGTCTGTCTATCCTAATACAAAGAAAAAGCTCTAAAATGATAGTTGAATTTTCCAAATATTTTATGACTGAATCTTTTTATCAGAGATCATGATATGACCTGACAAAAGGCCATCTATGTTTTTAGAAAATGCTGAGTAAGTGCTCTCTGCCTAAGTTATCACTGTAATAAAGATATATTTACCATTCATGGTGAGAAATAAATGCTACAAAATATTGAGTAAATTTCAGAATAATAGTGACATTTGGACAGTTATCCAAATCTACAAGCCAATGTAGATAACCTAGTTAGGTGTCACTTTAATCTAGAATACTTGTATTTCTAATTTCTTCATAAGAAAAATAAACAAAATACAACCCCAAAATAGTTACACTAGTTATAGTACTACATTAAAGTACATTAGTAAGAAGTAATAGTGCTCACATTTCAATTACCTTCTACTGTAACAGTAAACAGCTTTTAAAAACATGGAATCTAGCCAAAAAAAATCTACATCTACATGTAAACTCCCAACTGGAAGGTCCTTTTTGATATATTGTGATTGTATGATAGAAGGTAGGTTTGTGACTAGTCTGTTTGAATAAAAAGCAAAAAGAAAAATCCCAACATATTTAGACGACAAAAAAAGATTGTCCCAGAAAAAAGCTATCCTTCATGTAAGAAATCACACTTCAAAATCCAGTCAAAAGGAAGTGAAATTGTTGTAGGCAAAATGTAAATTAATCCCAGAAGTACTAAAGAATCTCAAAATGTTTTAAAATTAGAAAAAAAATATACTGATAAAGAAAAGTGGATTTTTGAAAGAAATAAGAAGTGGGGCACCTGTGAATGAAGCAACAGGTTTTGGGGGTACTAAAAAAATAGAGAAGTGCAATCATTTAAATTAAAAATATTCCATTGAAATAAAAAAGAATTAGGCTTTGCTCCACTTGGAAATGCACAAACGTATGGAGAAATAATATTTTTACCTACTCCAAAAAAAGCATAGTAAAATGTCAAGCATGCAAGAATAAATAACAGCCTCATTTGCCAAACCGATTTTCAATGTGTGCTTAAGTTATATATTTATAATGATAGGAGGGAACTCTCACATGTATGGAAAATAATTATGTGAGGAGCTACATTAATAACCTTCATTTGCAACAGATTTATATCTTTTGTTCTTTATATTCTGGCATCAGCTACTTCAATGTCCTGTATAGCAATTCATTTCAGCAAAGATGGCGTGCACCCTTTGGTTAGTGTAGAATCATGTGTGTGGCTGCCAAATGCACTTCTGGTTATTGATGAGCTGTACTTGCATTGCTCTCACCAGGGGAACTAAACTGCTTTTCCTTGCTTTCTCTAGCTACCAATTTTTATAGAACTCACAGGAGGAAATTAATTGTATTTGAAACTTCCTCTGTCCTTTTGAATTTGGTTGACATTAGCCAAAGCATTCAAAAATTTCCACAGGCTGAACTGGTAGACAGAGAAAAGCAGGTAGTACAGTCTAGCTTATCTATGGTGTTTAAGTAAAGAAAATACCAACAAGACAGTAAAATTCCATCATATTCATAAAAATACATTTGTTACCTCTAAAATGCATTCATGAGGAAGCAACCTCTAGAAATCTATTTAAGGTTCTAACAAAACAGTGACCTTGGTTTAAGTGCCTCTCAGATCTGAAAAAAATATAAAACCCAACGAGCTTTGTTGCTGATGTAAAAACTCTTTAAAATAAAGGTTTGTTGAAGACTATTTATATTTTATCTGTTGCAGGGAGGAGTAGCAGATGTTAATATGATATTCTGAAATAATGAACAGCAAGATTCTGATTTATCATAACATTTAACCATCCTCTGGGAAAAAGCAAGTGTGAATCATGAGACATAGAAGGAAGATGTAAAGGTGACAAGCATGCATTACTGTAAAGATGAGAATATTTAATGTGTAGATGTTGATTGGCCCAATATACAATTTAATGAGGAGTTTTAACACATTTATAGGACTTCCTACTCATTAGGAATTCTTCCATTACATCAAGCTCATAAAGCTTACCAGGTATATTTCCACTTGGGCTCCTGAATTATAGAGTCATGACTTTTTTATATGCACCTTTAATTATCATTCCAATCATTTTATCTGTTCTTAATCAAGGCTAAGCAATCATCATTAATGTCTTTTTTAAAGAATATGGTAATTTGCTTCCTTCCATTCCTCCAGAGCAGTAGCAGGTTCTAATGGAACATCTAATATTTTTGTTAGTATCCCAATCATTACATTTTTTGATTCCTTTGGTATTTTTTAAGTGAATTGTCAAGTTCTGTTGGAATGTTGCAATTTAAGACTGACCTAACTTGAAAATTAGCTTTGTTTTGAGCAAGGTGTTGGACAAGATGACCCGCATAAGTCCCTGACAACCTAATTTTTTCTGTGACCAAAATTCACAACAAAACTTGCAGCCAAGTTAGGCTGAGATTGAAAGCTGAATAAAATACCTCCTTTAGGAGTTTTATAAGGGGCTTTTTTCTTTTTAATTTGATTAATATGTGCATTGTTCCTTTGTATTGTGTTTGAATTCTGTTGGTTTGGTGGAATTTTTTATTTTTGGTAGCATTGTCTTCTTCATCCTGTTTCAGTTCTGCAAGATTCTGTGTCTACAAAATATAGTGTAACAGCTTTTTATTTTTATATGTACAGTATGTCTAGTTAAATTACAGAACGTAGAGTTAAAGATTTCTGTATTTAGATACACTTTAGCTCAGTTTTAAATGTATCTAGAGAAATCGTGCTCTCCTTCAAGGTCACCTCTTCAAGGTTAGTCCCAAATTTTCCTCTATTTCATCTACATGATTGCCTCGTAGGACATTATGTGTTAGCTATGTTGAATGCTCTTAGTATTTTAATTCTATCACTGTAAGGCAGGCTTGTCGCTTAGGCAGGCATCAGTCTAGGAAAATAGAAATGTTTTCCCAATCCATTTATGAAATTAGCAAAGGAGAAGATGGTTCCTGAGAGAAATAGGAAAATTAAATCTTTCTAATGATAATTCAAGAAAGGGAATTAAAAGCTATTCACTCTCTGGTGAATAAGAGAATTCCCAACAATATTTCAGATCCTCTCTTAATCATATGGCCATAAGGAAAATAGTTAAGCTTAAGAGAAAACAAGATAAAAATCCCAATACGCTTGAAAACATTGAAGTACCACCATACAGATTTTCAATTCAGTCCATTACAAGAAATAATTCATTACAGTTCACTTTCTCTGATATACAAATGCCAAAGTCAATAAATACTTTTTTTCATTTTTAAAATAGTCACTGATGTTACCCTGTAGCCAGTCACGTTTCTGGAAAAGGTTGGAGTAATTTACAGTCCAGCAGAACCTGGAAACCTAAAAAGGCTCTGTAGGCTTTTATATGAAGAAATCCATAAAACTGAAAGCTGTATAGTGCATAAGTATCTTCAGTCTACCAATCTATTATCAGTAAATATTCATGGCACAGTTGGCAAAAGAATGGAAGTATTTTGTAATGCAAATAATTTAGCTGTTAAACAAACTACACATTAATGTAATAGAATACTAAAGCTTCATTTACCTGTTTTGAAAGGACTAATGTACGACAAGGAGTTCTACAGATCAAACATTCATCTTTTTTGCCTGCAAGGTAAAGACAGATGTAAAATATACATCAAACTGAATAGATACTGAATACATTTTTAATAGAATTTGATGCCTAAACTTCTCTTTGGAGCCTGTGAAAGGAATCTGCAGGTTAAACAAGAAATACAAATAAACCTGAATGAAGATTTTGTTTCTATAACCATTACACACAGTTTCATGGGGACAATATGTGTGAATGTCATCAGGTCTTACTCTTGCAAATAAACATTCATGTAGATGATTTTATGAATATAATTAGTATCAGTGAATCAGGTGACTTTCAGTTCTGTTGATTTAAACAGGACTACTTGCCTGGCTTAAGTAAATATATGCTTAAGTGCACTAACAAATTAGAGTCAACTTTAGACTGGGGCCCAGTCTGGCTCTCTCAACAAACCATATGAAATCTTAACTTCAAAAAATTACTAATTTTACATGATTATTTTTTCCAGTGAAATATTCATCAAATTTCTTTTTAACACTTTGTATTTTTTAAATATCTCTTATTTTTTTAAATATCTCTGATTATTTGCAAACATATTAGCAAATATTTCTAGTAAATGCATATTACTACAATATTTATAATTGATAATTATACTAGCTGCTTCTTTTCTAAGGATCAATATTTATAAGCATCTTTAAAGAATAACTAAATTTTAAACCTGATATTATCAATATTACTGAATTCAGAGCAAAAGGGGTTTTTTTCTGCCAAACAGTATTAAGAGCAGAAAGAAAAGCTGTTGTTCAGGTTCTAGGAGCCTACGAGTTGTGTTTAGAGGCTGCATTTTATGATTTTCTGTCTCCTTAGCAGCAACCCTGGGAAAACTTTTTGTCTAAAGTTTTCTGAAATACAGAGTGACCTTACTCTGTGTGCCCGTATAAAAACCCCAGGGTGTTTGTCATAGCCACAGCTGGAAAACGTTGATATTTGTCTGCTGTTTTTCTGTTTCGAAAAGCAGCTTCTTTATTCTGCTATCTTTTGCACAGAGCTTCATCTAAGCATATAAAAGGAGTCTCAGAATATGACCCAGGAACTGCATATGACACACAAGAGTTTCAAAACATCATCTTCAATACTCCAAACACTGCTGAAAATGTTCTTCTGTTTCAGTGACAATACTGACACAATGTCTTAAAACTCTTAGCAAAACCCGCCCTAAACAAATCCTATGTTCTGCAAACTGCTCTTTCGCTAATGAAAAAGCATGCCCTTTCCAAAATTAGACAGACCGAATGCCATCTTTAGGGTTGTTTTTACAGTACAATCATGCATCATTAACATCCAGGCTCAACTTTTATTAAAGCCTCCAGTTTTCTCTGTCTAAAGGGTTGCTCTCAAAGCCACATCGCTCCAGCCAGATGCATCTGGAGGCAGACACAAGTGGGTTTTACTGCTTAAAGAACATCAATGTCAAGAACTGAAAAGGTTTATCAATAACATTCAACTGAGAAGCAGAAATGCCCAGGCCTTTTTCCACAGTCAGGAGTGCTAATGGTTAAGGTAAACGTGTACACACCAGCAGCTGAAGCAGAAGGCCAAGCCGCCCTGCCTGCAGCAGCCATTACCTTTCTGGAGGCAGATCTCACAGATAACATGCCCACAGCTCGTGAGGCTGAACTGTGGGGCGGTCTTGCAGGGCTCACAGAAGCAGACATTGCAGAATATGGGGACAGACATGGGGTGCAGGGGCAGGAGGGCCCAGCAGGGAGCCGGCAGCGGAGGCAGATGCTGGGGTGAAGCCTACAGGCCTCCCACCGCCATGTTCCTCCTGCTGAGGCTCCTCCAGGCACTGAGGTGGGGGCTGGCGCTGACCCTCCCACCCCAGGGGAGCCTGCGGTCAGCAGGGTTTGACCCTCACACCCCAATAAATGAGGTTTTCTGGCTTCTCGCTACCAAACCGGAGAGAGAGCCCATGCAGGGGATCCTCCCTGAGACATTTCCCCTTTCCTTCCTCAAATATGGGCAACTGAGGTCAGCCAACATCCAGGGCTCTGGTAGGTGCTTCCCCATGAGCCCTGTACTCCTCATAGAGGCAGCCATGCAGCAGGTGTGTGGAAAATGGTGGTGTCTTTTTCACTCTTTTAAATGCAGGAATCCTAGAATGGTTTGGGTTGGAAGGGACCTTAAAGCTCATCCAGCTCCACCCCCTGCCATGGGCTGGGACACCTTCCACTAGAGCAGGTTGCTCCAAGCCCCTGTGTCCAACCTGGCCTTGAACACTGCCAGGGATGGGGCAGCCACAGCTTCTCTGGGCGCCCTGTGCCAGCGCCTCAGCACCCTCATAGGGAACAACTTCTTCCTTATATCTGAATCTCCCCTGTTTAAGCTTGAACCCATTGCCCCTTGTCCTGTTGCTGCAGTCCCTGATGAAGATCCCTCTCCAGCATCCTTGTATCCCCCTTCAGATACTGGAAGGCTGCTCAGAGGACTCCACAGAGCCTTCTCTTCTCCAGGCTCTGCAAAGGTTATTAATTTACTTTCATAGGTTTGTTGCAGTTTCTTTGAGTGAGGAAAAAAGAGCAAAACAAGAAGTTCTGAGTTTCATTTCTTAGCCTGAAAAAAGCCCCCAGGGCTTGCTAATTTCCCTTGATGAAAAATTTATGGGAAAATTCCCTTACGGACCTACTTGCAGTGCAGGCTGTAGCTCTGGGTACAACAGAGACACAGACTGCACAGGAGCAACCTTCAGCTTTTAACTGCATAAAGAATACTGACCCCAAAGTGCTTCCCAAAAGAGCTATAATTCAGCTTCTACTTTATAGAGTTAATTAAAAATTTTGAAGGAGACTGAAAATATTTCATCAAAGCAAAGATATTTAATTATTATTATTATTATAGATAAAAAATGAAGCACTTTCAAGCTATAGGCGAGGCTCCAAGTCTCAGTGCTGGTTTGAGTATAGACCTAATTAATAAAGAGGAACATAATCAGCTCTTTTCTGATTCTGACATGGTGCCTGTCCTTTTGGTTTAAAGCTTAAGTGTATTTTAAGTGAGATAAGTTTGTCATTGGGATGTAGTTAGGAGCCTTACACAAAATAACAGCTAAATTCTGAACCATAACCTTGTAGCAACCCTTTATTAGACTTTCTACTTTGTCTTCATATCTCATATATTTTTAACACATCTTTCCATCTTTCCCAGCACCAAAGATGTTATTACAAGACATACTATGCGTGAGTGCTCTATAAAAGTGAATTAATAACACTTATTTCAATTTAATAACACTTGTTTCAACGGCATTTCAAGTGACAACTTTAAAGTCTCAGAAATTTAAATATAGGGGACACCTCAGTGAGTAGTTTTATGAGATTTAATTTTGATTGATGCAGTCTGTAGAGCATTGCTTTTTGCCTCTACTTTGTATCATCAGCTTTATGGATTCTCACATATTTGCAGCTGCATTTTCATTCTCACGCTGGAAATATAAGTGAACTTTAAGGGCAACATTATTTCCTTGCTAATGAAAGCAAAAGGTGAGAAGATAGAAAATAGAAAAAAAACAGTGCCTTTGAAACAATAATTGGCCTAGAGATATTTCAGCTTTTACTACCTTTTAGATTAGTGAAGGGTCTGGAAAGAGGAGTAGGAAGCCAAATCACAATATTCTACTGTCACAGTGCTCTCAAGAAACTTTTTCAATTATATGTTAATCAGGTGCTGAGATAGGTCATGTTATAACCACTTCCAACTCCTTCTTACACTAATGCTGCTTTATCTGAATTATTCACCGCAGCTTTTGACTTTTAATTGCATTATACTGTAGCTTGCTCTGCTAGTTGTACATAAGCTAGCTAAATTAAGGCCTAAAGATATATTCAACCAAGTTGCAGTAAGTGAAATGTAAGTGCATGATTAAGTCAAAAACTGGCAGTCATCATATGGTTCCTGAATAATTAAAATAGAAATAATTTTCCAACATAGAAACAGACTGAAGAATTTAGTGTAGTAATAACTGAAAATAAAAAATATAGTCACTAATTCAGTGTTTATGAAGAAACCTACTGTAATTTGACTTACTTTGGCACACTTCATAAATACCATAATTTCCATAAAAAGTTGTGGGAGTGGTCTGATCTCAAGTCAATAGCCTAATGTTTGGGGCTTATCTGGAAGTAAAAAGTAAGTAAAATCCCAAATTGTTTGCCTGGGTCTCTCTCTTCCATGGTAATTGCTACAGCCACTGATCATAATCTTAGGGGTGGGCTCCACTGTCACTTAAAACTTTGAATATTTGAAAAGAAAACATTCACAATTGTATTTGAGGAAAAGTTAAGTGTTACAGCTAGGTGGAGTTCAAGACATTGACAATAAATAAAGCACCACAGGGAATATAGTTGTTTCTCTGCCTAGTATCTGAATCGTAGTCAGTCTGAAATGCTGAACTGTTCATGGTAGTAGCGAAGAAGATTACAAAGCAAGTAGAGAAACTTAAAATATTAAGTTTGGGGTTTTCTTATTTATTTCTATTTTAGATGTAACAATCCTGATTTGAAATTAAGTGCTGCCTTAGCCAATGAGTTCTTTTAGATTTAGCGTTACTTCTGGGGGTAAAAAACGTGATAAAGGATGGGATTCAAGGAGTAAAATGTAAGGGCCTGCCAGGTGTTGCAATATAGATGGAGAAAGCAAGGTTAGAGTAAGAGAAGCTTGAGAGTTATTTATATACAACCAATTTTCTCATAGCAGGGGGTTTTTTGCATATTAGGTGTTACATGGTGCGCAATTTTTGAATCTGGGCATTTACTTTACAAGACTTAAACAAGCTTCTTAGATATAAAGAAATCTCTGAGTGATTTAATTTGCCAGATTCCAATGGAGATGAGGATCAGTGTTTGTACAATCGCCCACCAAACAATATTGCTGTTGGTTTCTTCACTTGTCTTCCGAAATTTTTCTTCACGTTCCTAAAGAAAAGAGGAAAAGCATAATTATTACCTTTTAGCATCTATATGTTTCCTGCTGCTATTCAGGTAACTAGACAAGCATCCCTTTTCTGCACGGTAATGGACAAACACTTTTTTCATGTTGATAAAAATGAAAGTTTGTTCTTATCCAGACAGTGGGTATCTTCACAAATCAAAAATGAGAAGCAGACACTGTATCCTGAAGCAGAAAGGCAAACAGAGCTTTCCCTTCTTCACAGAAGACACACTGTGCTAAATATGTTCCATTAGTGCAGCTTAAACCTTTTTAGTTTTACAGTCACTTCCTTATTGCAGTCAAATTTCTTTCTTTAGGTAACTAGCTGATATACTTCAAACACAGTCTGACTACCTGCATACATATAGGAAAGTGAAGACAATAGATGTACACTTGTTTGAAGTAAGGCTTTGTTTCTAACTGCATGGAGGTATATAAATATACACTCAGTCATTTCCTTACCCTCTCCAATAAAGCTTATGCACACAGACCAGCATGGAAACAACAGCTGGCAACATCACCAGTGACAGTACCTGCCACCTGCTCAGATGCTGTTGCTGACTCTGACCAAGAAAAATATATTTGGCAATTCCTGCTTTAAAAAAACACCTGCTGCTATAAGCCTGAGTTCCCAGTGACTAATTAGTTTTTATGTTACAGCTTAAAAATATTTTGCAAGGCAATGTAGGCTATTTTGGTTCAACAGCTGTAGATTTTTATGAGTTAGTTAAAAATAACACCACAGTTAAATAAGAAACTTCATAATACTTTATAAATCAATAAGCCTATATACAATATTTTTAACATTTCTGTGAGGGAACATACATACTCTTTCATAGTTTTGTTCTTTGGCTATGTGATGAATTTGCTCAATTAGATGTTCCAGTCTGATGTTAACTTCATTCACTTTGTCTTTTGCTTGAACAACAGATTCATCCAAAAAATGTTCTCCAACTCTAATGTCCAAATGGATACGCTGCGAACAGAAAAATTGTTGTTATTACTGTGTCTTCTGTGTTCTCAAAATTCCTTAGAAAAAAAGAAACAATGGATAATTTCCCTTTAAGCTCATTACAGGAAACCAGTTTTAATTGTTTATAGAAATCCTTCCTAAAATTAGAATCAGGTGGGCTATTTAAAGTGTTTCTTAAGTTTTAGCTTCAAATTAATTATACAAATTTTCAGTCTTCACTAATGTTAAGGCATTATTTTGTACTAATATTGATTCAACAACCAAGAAAATGTTTTTTCTTCTTTTTCCAATCTAGTTAAAAAAATAAGCCACATTAGGACTGCTCATTGTATTTCACATTCCTTCTTAATATTACAGAAATTACATTCTTCAGGAGTACTGCAATAAAATCTTTATAGATGCACTTCTAGGTTTTTTACTAACAGGAATATAAGACTGGAAGGAGACCAGCTGAATCATTATTTGCATGCAGCATAGGTATTCAAGCAGAACCATCCATAAAGTATCTTTTTTATTTCTCCACACACAGTTTATCCAGTATGAAATACCTCCCAATATCCTATAAACTATTTTACAATCTATAACAAAAATACCCCAAACTTGCCAAACAATAGACCCATAGAAAGAAAAGTGGAGAATGGAACTTGCAGTATTGTGCAACTTATCTTGGCATGAATGAAAAATTTTACTAAAACTGACAGGATAAAGTTCTCCTAGAAGCCAGTTTGTACCTAAGACAAAATAAACACATTTTAGCCAAACAGATAATCTGTAGAAATCA